GGCACAAACTTCCAGTGGACCACCAGTTCATTGTTGCCTCTGGGCTCTGGCTCTCTGGAAATCTGTGATTGCAAGTTCAAGTTGTCTAGTATTTGGAAATAGTATATATTGCATTGTGAAATTGTGAATTGATTATGTAAAATTGTGAATTGCACTGAATTTTGTGAGTTGCTTCCAGTATTTGTGATTCATTTGACATCTCGAATTACTCCCACTCCTAGTAGTAATTGGGTGATCAGTGGATGAATGATAGCACAATTGTTTATGTGGAGAAAGATATATTTTTGAGGCTCAATAATGAAGTTATTATACAATGATATCAAAATATGAAAACTCGCAAAGAAAAAGTGTAATATATAAATTATGTCATTTTTAGTATTGATGTACTATTTTTTTTTTTATCGTCATTAAATCCATGACCAAAATCTCGACATTCATCGTCAAAAAAATTTTGCCCGCACTGAACTAAAATCCTGGCTCTGCCCCTGGTGGTGGTTTTGGAAGTTAGGTGGTGGTCGATGGTGTTGCAATGGACGGTGGTGTGGGAGGTGGGAAGAGTTTCTTTGACCAATTATTTGGGTGTTGTAACAGTAAATTGTCTAAAAGAACGTGTTACTGTGACTAAATTTGTAATTACAATCAATTAATTTGATAATTTTTTATTGTGAAATAGTTGTGACATATAAAATTTGAGATTTGTGATCGTAAAATAAGTTATGATCCATAAAATTTGTAATTTGTGATCAATAAATAAATTGTGACCTATAAAGTTTTTTGTAACACCTTCAAAACTGGATACCCAGATTTGAAAGTAGTGACATTAATTTTCTTAAAACCATAAATGCAAAAAACTAATTATAAATTTTTCTTTAACATAAAAATATTAATTGTTTCCACTAAAGGAAAGAATTTTAGAAAACTTTTATATTTAATAAAAATATAAGATAATCAAATTAATGTTAAATTTATTTCAACATTAAATGTATTAGTACTGAGTCCGTCTCTCACCACAAGTAATCATTTCGAATCATCTTACCTTCGTCATCTGAAATGGGAAGCGATAACATGGAATGAGCTAATGTTCAGCAAGTAAACTTCGTGCATATGATGTATGATTATGATATGCACAAGAATTACTTTAAGATAAAAGTATTTCTCAATATGTATTCCATTTCTTTAATTTCTTTTAAAAAAATTTAACATTGACATCGTGAGCTCACTTGGTATATCCCTTAGTTATTTAGAATGCAGTGGATAATTATTATTTGGAATCCGGTCGAATTCTAATGATAGTACCACAAAGTGATTAACATTATCATTATCATTAAACATTAAACATTAGAAAGGTGCACTAGTTCCCCACGCTCCATTTCCCACTCACACATTTCAAAGCATAGACATACATCTCGTAATAAAAACATTCGGGATACATATCCTTTTAAAACATTCATTCACTCATGACATTTGAAAACTTTTTATTTCTTGGAACTTTATGTATGCTTTTAGATGCATTATGTGCATGAATATTTCATAAGAAGTATTAATAACATAAAATGTAAAAATTAAATATCAAGTACACATGAGGACAATTTAAGTGACACATTTATACATTAACCGTTCGTATGAAAATAATGGAAGGTTTACTTACCCTGAGTTCATGCAATTTACTTTTAAAGTGGCAATTGGACATGTCCCTAACTGCCCACGAAATCAACGTGCAACAAATCCTAGTTCGACAAATTTCACTCTTTAAATATGAACACACAGCATTGCTATGTTAAGCATAATCTTTTTATTATTGTTGTTAAGAAAATTCTATACGTTAACAGATGTGTTAAGGTTCATAAAAATTTAAAATAATCAAGTTCACTGTTAAATAAAATGGAGACAGAAAGACACTAAGAAACGTGCAATATATGCTTCACAACGGACTAAATTTTTCTGCAGGAACGAGTACACTGTTGGGCAACGTTGTTGCGAGATCGCCGCAGCTTCGAAGCTGTCGTTCGATGTCGCTACGAGCGACAGAGCATGCAAAGTGGCATGCACAATGTGTTGCTACAACGGCGTCATCGCGCAGTGGCATCACAGTGTCACTCGGTGACGTCTTTTGATGGCGCCTTCTTGTCTTTCAGTGTGATTGTTAAATGAGGGAGAAAATAGATAGAGAATGAGGAGAGAGAGAGAGAAGGCAGAGGGTAGAGAGAAATGAGAAAAAATAATAATAATAAAGAAAAATAATTATGATTTGAAAATAAAATGGTGAATATGTAGATTAGATTTAATTTTATAATATTTTTATTAATATTTAAAAGATCATTTGATTTTTGAACAAAAATTCTTAAAGTTTGATTTTCTTTATTGGGCATTTTAAAATTCCAAATTTGTGTAAAGGAAGAACACATAAATCCTACATATAAAAATCACATATCAAAACTAACGAACTCCCTAAAATCTTTCAAAAATCAGGTGGTAAATCAATTTATTAAATGTTTAATTATAATATAATATAATTAATCAACTTACCCCACCCTATCTCCACCCCACCCATTACACCAAATTTCAAATTAAAATCCTTATGTTTACCCTTTCTCTCCATTGAAGGCAGCAATCGGCTTCAGCAAGTATTCTGGCGACAATTTCGACGATCGCCCCCAACAACTGCTCCAACGACTCCATCAGAGGTGGCAATCGACTCCGGTAACCACTCCAACGAGTTCTTTGGCAATAATTTTGACGATCGCCCCCGACAACTGCTCCGACGACTACTTCAGCGATTGCTCCGACGACTATTCTAGCAACCACTGTACTGTTTTTTTTAATTGGTGACATGAAATATGATTTTGGACATGGATTGTTACCTGTGACTTGTAAAATAAAATGTGACCTATAAACCGATCCATGATTCTACAAAATGTGACATGTGACCTGTTAATATTGACCCGTGACCCTTTTATATTGATTTGTGACCTATACAAAATGATATTGACTTGTGAACTCAAACTTGTGATCAGTGAACTGTGACTTAAACGACAAATTGTGAGCTGTAATGTATGAACTGTGACCTATGTGTTCATAACCAAATTTGTTTTCAGTGTGACTGTGTATGACCATGTTAATCTAATTTGTGATAATATGCAACCAAGTCATATACAGTCATAGTTAATACAAGTCTGGTCATAGGCGGTGACAACGAAAATAGATTTGGTCACACTAGATTGTTGTCGTCACCACCACTTCCAACACCAACGAACACACATATACCATCTCACTACAACCACATATACTACCAGCAACAGAACTATCGGTACCACACCACACCACCACAACAAAATCACCTATACATCAAAAAACATTGGAATATGAGAGCGCTACGGCACTACCCAAAACTAGATCTTGAACAAAGAAAAATCAGATCTCCAACCACCACATCAGATCTATTCGAAAATTTAATAATAACCAACACATAGTAGTGTTGCTATAGTGAGCTTGTAACGGTGCTCACTTACATACAGAATAATCAAAATTCACTTACAAAATAGAATGGAACTAGAACAAAGTACATCGTCGTCATTGCACAATGACGATGTCATCACGTCTGTGCAGTAGCAACGACATGGCAGTTTCATGGGGCTTTATGGGCGAGACACCGCGCAACAAGTACAGAGCTACACGACAGCCGTTGCAGCATTGATGCGTGAAGCGACATTGTCATCGCCGAATGTAGGCGGCGCTGCTGCTGTGGCTTTCAGCGATGCTACTATGGTCTCTCCACAGTGGCTTTCGTTGGAAAACAAGAAGAGATGGTGGGGAAACATTGTCGGCATCACCTTTGCTGTGG